CAACTTTAGCCAAATCCGGGACCGAGAGAGAGTTAGGAGAGACTCTACTGGTGACAACAGAGTCAACACCTAAAACCCCCTTCTTAGCAAAAGAGACAATAACTAGGTCAGAAGAAGGTTCAGCATAGCCATTCACAACCAAATCCTTACCAACCCGGCAAACAACCCCCAACGATTGAGAAGGGGGAGGCAAAAAGATACATTATTAGCATAATGCATTGCTTACAGTAACAATAAAAAAGTATTAAAAAAATTTATATGCAATAAATTTTCAAAATATAAATGCAATTGATAAGAGTATGTTAACTTTACTGACACTTCGCCCAAGATTATTGTTTGTGCGTAAATGATCAATAAAATTCAAATGCTTGGGTATAAATTGATGGCCTTTTGATTTTTTTGACCGCTTAGGGAAACAACATTAGATGTTCTAAAAGTCTCAAGAAAGGTTTTATCAAATAGCAATTTGCCGCCATTCTTTTGAGGAAGCTTCGCTGCTTAAATTTGAAAGAGAACGAAAATGAGAATGTATGAAAAGGAGATTAAGTGGAGATAGAATAGCCTTACCTGTTGTATCTGAAAACTTCCAGGAATACCCACCGCTGTTTATCCGAATGGTGAAGAGCCGGCTGGGCAAGGCCCAGATCCTCAGTTCGAATCCTCCATTGGCAAACAGTGAAAACCTTAAGTGTTAGCCCGTGTAAATTGGTGTGGGTTGCATGCTAGGTCGACCGGAATTTTCACTGGCCTAAAGACAATGCTTCCTCGTCACAAAAAAAAAAAAATTCCAGGAATCGATACAAGATCTAAAAATATAGCACAATCCATATCAGTGTAAGATTATGTTCAAAATACAATAAGATAATTTAATGAACCAATATTACCTCAAATGGTCCTGCAAAAGAAGTATTGAAAACATGAAATATGTAAAGATCGCGCGTGACCGCTGCCTGCTGCCCACTATCGCTTTGCGTCATTTCTGCTGCCCACTGTCGCTGCGTTAATCGTGATCAAGTCGCATCCCACGTCCCGCTGCCGCTGGACACCGGACGTCGCTGCCGCCGGACGCTACTGCCGTGCTAAAGGCTCGCCGATGCCGTGAAGCTACTCCTGGCCTTGCCGTGACCTCGGGTCGGGTTGACCTGAATCCTAAGCGGGTCGGGTTCGGGTCCGATAAATCGACCCGTTTATAAAAAAGCTAGTTGGGTTCAGGTTGACCCGAATAGTGCCGGGTCATTTTCGGGTTCGACCCGAACCCGACCCGTGACCCGAAATTGACTCCCCTAGTTCCGGCTTATGAGATGTCCAACCTATAAAAAACAAAGACTTTGTAAGTATAATGGTTAAGAAAGCTTGATTAAAATAATTATTCAGTCAACATTTGGATTCTTGATATTTGAGAAGAAAATGAAAAAGAAATCAAAATGTTCAAAATGATGGCTACTTATAAATAATCAACTCTTGAAATCTTGTATTTCATGTTATTTTCTTCACTTGGATAGTTATTATCTTATATAACTTCTTTTTTTTGTTTAAATTTAAAATAATTAAATTTTAATAAAAATAGAAAACCACTTATTTACAAAACTTAATTTCATTGAATGACTAAGTCCTAGCAAACAATAATGGATTAACGGTTTTATTGGTTTGTTAAATTCCTTATTTAATTGGATGTAGTTATAGAATAACATTGATTTCAAACTCAAATCCCCATAAAATACTCTCCAATTGAGGGTTTCAATTTCTCACTCAAAATGAATGAAAAAAACAATCTTTTTTATTTATATTTATTTTTCGAATGCAATCGAACAAATGACGCACAAATTAAAAAAAAAAAATCATAATTTTAGAAAGTTTTTTTTGTCTTATACAAATAAGTCCTAAATCAAAAGTATATTATTCACTTATTGAGCTTGAGAATAAAAATATAACATTCTAGAGTTATAAAGGTTTTTTGTATATTTTAAATATAATATTAAGTTTTTAATGCACTTAATAAATTATAAAATATAATGAAAATTAACGCAAATCTAAAAAAATTCACAATGTCTACATGAATCTCGAATAATTATTTGAATAAAAAATGTCTGAAATTAAATTTAGGATCATCGGAGCTCCGATTTTAATTTTCAACAAACTTATAGTCGAACTTAATGTCCGAACAAGAAGAATCTATTGAAGCTATAAATGATCTGATCCAACTCCAAATGAGCTAAAATCAAGAACTTGAATTATGTTTAAAATCTTTTGAACGTAAATTGATAGACTAAATGATATCTAATTATGGAATGCTTATAGTCAAATATAATGAGCTCAAGATCACTAGATTCTCACATCATTAAGACATTCAAATGTTTGATAAATAAAAATATGAAAGTTTAAAAATAAGATATTCTTTCCTAAGAAATAAGGAACCAGAAGGAAAGAACCTCCTTCACCATATGATTCTTTTCATTTGGAAGCCTTATGAAGAAACAAATTAAGCCTGAAGAGAATAATTAAAAACCAAAGAGAATATCACATTTATTTAAAATACTTGCATCATTCATAGAAATAGAATCCGAGTTTAAATGTTTAATATAAAGACTTTACCCCAACCTCTTTTTATAAAGGTTGTAACTAAGACTTCGTTTGGGATGACTTTCTTACTACTTCTTAAAACGATTTTTTAGTTCAAAAATTAAAATTTTAATACTAAAAATCTGATTTAAAAAGCAGTAATAAAGCCGTCCCAAACAAAGGTTAAGTGGTGCTTTCATACTGACTTTGAACACTTAACTTTGTTTTGTTGTTGTTTTATATTGGTCGTTGGGTGAATGATTGTTTATTTTGATTGTTCATTAAAAGCTCATATTTCTCTATATTTGTTTCTTGCATTTGTATTTGCCTGAATTTTTTACTAGGCTCTTATGAAATACTTTTTTTTTATAATTATAACTAATAAACAATTTAAGATTAAAAAACATTAATATAAGATAATCGATTTAAAATGTAAGCCGGAATTCACCTGGGGTCTTATAAAATATATTGATCTTTTCTTCTTCTTCTTTAGGGCATCTCCAACCGAACTGCAACCGCTTGAATGGCGTCCCTGGCCAGCTCCAACCGAACCGCAAATTTCCAGCTATTTGGCTGCGGGTGATTAGTGGGACGTCACGTTGCATTGTTCATCTATTTTTACCTCTCTACCAAACTTGGCGCGGGAAAGAAGAGAGGATCATTACTTGCAAAAGTATGAAAAGTGGAGTTCGATTGGAGATTAATCCCGGCATTTTGTAATTTCACGACATTTTAGAGTGAAAAATGAGATTTTCGGTTGGAGATGCTCTTAGGCACCTCCTTGCCTACATGTAGAAGTAGATTACTTAACTTACAATTATGTCTTGGGAGAGCTTTGTTCTTTTAGAATAAAATCTTTTGTTGTAATCCTTTTTAACAATTCAAATTCTCATTATTACATAGAGTGAAACAAGCATGCTTTGCTATAAAAATAAAAAAATAAAAAATAAAAAATAAATAATAAGAAACAATAATTAAAAAAAACAAAACAAAACAAGCATGCTTTGCATTACAAATAACTTAAAATTAAAATATAATTACATTTAGTCGTAGGTGCATAATTGTTATTCATAAGTCCACAGCCTCTTAAAAAATTCCTTTAGATGGTTGGTTGCATAATCCAAAAACAAAAAAAATAATGTCCCACCAATCACGATCCAAGATTTAACGCAAAAGAATTTCTTTTTTTTTTAATAATCTTTTCTGCTCATTGTATTTATTTATCTTTCTTTTAAGAACTAGATTAATTTGAAATCCAATGCTGAATAATTGCATTATAAGAAAAATACATAAAAAGAGAAAAACATCATTCTATTTTATATAGTTAATATTTACATTTTATTACAAAATTATGAGTATGAAATAATAAGTACAATAGTCATATTGACTACAAAAGAATACATATAACTGAAAAACTTAAAATAAAATTAAAACACATTACTACCTAGCCACACACCGCCTGATCGTCGATCACCACCGGAGTTTCGTCATACCATCGCTCGGGAGCCGAACGCCAGTGGACTTCCACCCGGCCTCCAACCATCGCCTGACGGTGCTCGAATGTCAACCGTAGCCGGACTTCCACCCAGCTGCCGACCGTCAGTGGACTTCTGCCCGATCATCGTCAGACCACTGTCTGGCCGCAAACCACCGCTAGACTTTCACCCAGCCATCGTCGGACCACTGTCTGGCCGCTGTCCATCTTTGAACTTCAACCTGGCTGCTAACCGTCACCTAACTTTCTCCCAACCATTGTCGAATGATTGCCCTATCACCAACTGCCATGCAATCATCATCCGTTCGTTCGACTTCCACCCGAACATAGTTTGACTTTCATCTGACCACCGTTAGAATTCCTCCAAACTATTGTAGTTCCATCGCCTCTAAGTATGGGATGGATCAACATTTGTTATTCACTAAAAATTAGTAGGATTTTTTCACCTGGGCTAGACCTCGTAATTTTTCCTCTTCAAGTTTTCCATGTAAAAAAATTCTTTTGTTTTTATGCTCTCTTTTCAATTATTTATTTATTTTTTAATATCTCTACATCGCCAAGATGAAAAATTCATTCACTCTACCACCGCAAATAATTTAGCCCGTAAAATATATTTTTTAAATGAGGTGGCTCACGAGCTAAGAGCCGGGTCAGGGCTAGCTCAAATTTGACTTATCAGCTCTTTGAGGGGCTCATGAGGTATATATCAAGCTGAGCTCAAATAAACCCACAAAATCAATTTGACCTACTTACACTCCTAGTTACGATTTGAAGAGTCATCTTCCGGCTTGAACGAGCCATAACCTAAGCAACCGAGAGAAAGGCATAGTGAAGTCAAAATATTGAAATGAAAGATATAGTTGAAATTTAATTTGAGAATAAATAAAAATCAGTTTTACAATAAACCATCTTTAATTAATATTTCGAATTAAATTTAGATCTGCCTTCCAAAAACAAAATCCCTGCAGTTATGATTATTTAATAACGCCTCTCTTCCTTTCTCGATTCTTCCTTGTTTCCAGTTAGAATTCGGAATCATCGAGTCATTCAATTAATCAATTCTTCGCTTTTTCCGCCTGGCGTCTGTCTTGTTTTTGTGATCGAATTGAGCTTAGCGGCAGCGAGGTGGATACCATTGAATCCATGAATTGATTCATCTTCTGCCGAAGCGTGGTATTGAGAATTGGAGGGATGATTTCTTGTCGTAGATCGGATTAAGCGGCCGATTTTCCCGGAATGGATTTGATTTGTGGTCTTCACGACTGATTAGTTTTTGCTTTTTTGTGGGGTAGATTGATGCCCGGAATCCTAGGTTTTGGGGTTGGCGCGGATGGATGTCGGGAAAGACGATGCTAGAATCTGTAATGGGGATAAGACAGCTTCCGTTGTGATTTCTAAGGACGGGGAGGATAAGGGAGAGGAGGAATATAGGGAGACGAGCTCGCTTCTGTCGCCTTCATTGAAGAAAGGTGGGATACAGGGAAGAAGGCAGAGGAGTAGGAGTAAGAAGGTCCAGTGGAATGATCGCAACGGAAACAAGCTAGTGGAAATCCTGGAATTCCAGCCAAGGTTAAAATGATTATCACTTTTTATCCTTTTTAACTTTTTATGCTTTTTGGCTTTGCATAGATCTTGTTTCTGTAGCACTTGTAATGATTTTAATTATGGCGTTGTTAAGAAAATTAATCTATAATTTGCTTAAATTGATTTTCCTTTTATCATTTGACGGATAAAATTGATCAGTTCTTTAAATATCATTTTCCTCCTGAATTTTTTATGTAGATATAAACAGAGGTAGTTTTTTTTTGTCATTTTCCTCATTCCTTCACGTTTCCTTGCCACCTTAACTGATTTCTTATTATGCGTGTTGTTATTAGGATCAAGAATGTTTTAATGCAAGGCAGAAGTCCTTGTCCTTCTTGTAACACAGTAGCCAGTACTGCGGCCTTTGTGCTCATACTGTTTTGTTAATTGTTTGTTTCCTCTTTGCCACCTAATGTCGCTTCAATACCTGATTGGTAGCATTGCTACCAATTTCTTTTAAGCCTCTCTTCAATCATTACCCCTTTTATCACAGGAATTTGGTTACCAAATATTTGTTAATTATTTTGTTTGATCAACAATATCTTTAAAATTTGGCGAGATAATCAGTGCAAAAAAGTATGAGTATGTGATGTTCACTCTAAAATTCAGGACAACAATATGAATGTTCATATCGCATTTATGTTTTCTATCTGCAACTCTGAATAAATGAAAGCTGTGTTTATGTAAGTTACATACTTTAAAAGTTAGAAAAATAAAAATATTTAATTCATAGAAAATGATGAGTTTGATGTACTATCTAGTTTGAGATCCAAAAGGTAGGGTTGGGAATTTGACTCATAAATTATTTCTTTTTTGATCTTCTCCTACGATTGAAATCAATGACTCAATTAATGAGCTTGAACTGACCTAACTTGGATTGAGCCAACTAGTTCTAATTACCAATAAAGTATACTTCTTTTTTTTTTCCTTTTTTGCTAAGGTGTTCTTGACATTTAGAAGTAGAGCTCATTTCATTCTGGAAATGTTCGCTATAAATAGGGAAGCATCTTGATCTTTTTTACCTCTCTACGATTCAACAAAAACACAAAGAACCAACCGTATTTTTTCCTTCTTTTGCCATAGTAACTTGTTGAGGGCTACTGTGATCTCCGAAGTCTCCTCTTTGCAAAATATGTTTAAGGTTTTGAGCATTAAGTCCTCCCTAATCCGCTGCACTACCAAGAGACTTTTGTACATTTTTAATGGAGGAATGGTTAGATCATATTAAAGGTCATGGGTTCAAATCACCAAAAAAAGTTCTTTGCAAGACAGGTAAAGCCACATAATCAACCCCTCTCTAGATACAACGGAGGAAGCATCATCTATTATGTATGTGATTTATAATAACACATGCCATCTATTAATATGATTAAAAGTAGAAGTGTAGAACCAAAGTTTAAAATGCAATTCGCATTGCCTTCATATTTAATCCCATATCATAATTTTGAATTCATAACGGTTCTTTTATCATTAATCCTTTCTAGCATTTCAGTTTTTCATTGTCGAGGTAGCCTGTCTATTGTAAATTCTTGTTTTGTCTTGAAAATTGGTACTCCGAATGGCATGAGCCGACTTGGATATTCTTCTTAAGCATTGTATATAAAATATTGGCTATTTGTGATCATCAGCCTTAAGCACCTGTATCTTCATGAGTTTCATTAGTGTAATCAAATTTGGTTGTGAGGTTTCTCATGCTTGTCTTTTGTCGTTGTTAGGCTGAAATTATTGATTCAGGTCTAATGTACTGATTGATGTGTTGGCTGTGCTTTCTCTGCGGTTTCTCCACCTATTTCCTGTTTATTCAACTACTTAATAGTGGCTTCTACAGTTTCTGCGCTTGCTCTAAGTTAAACGGGACTATAGCAATATCTAGTTATTTTGGTCGAGTAGGTCTCGTAACTCCTCTTCCGTGGCTTCTTAGGGACTGTAGCTATTGAAGCTGTAGTTTAGCTGTTTGCTCTGTTTTATGGCTCATTGGCGGTTCCTGTGGTTCCTCCTTTCAGTGGTTTTTTCATGGAAGGTTTGATTTGATTCTATTTTGTGTTATACGCAGGCGTTTGAGGTATTGAAAGAAAAAAATCAATATTGAATAAAATTTTATTTTGTATGTGTAAAATCTTATCCTTTCAGAGTTTAATTTTTTATTCAATTATATGTCTTAAAATTCTTGAAGAGTTTCACTCATACAGGCATGAGGCTTTCATTTTTGGTGTTTGTTTCTTTTTACCTTAATTTTTTTTTATGATTCTTGGTTGACATCAAGTTGTGTTTTATTAGTTCTGCTATAATATGAGTTTCTTTCTATTTCATTAGATTTCAAAACTATGCATGACTTTCATGATCCTTAATTTTCTAATCATGCATTTTTAGTAGAGAAAAAAAATCTTCAATCAGAATTGGATTTAGTCTTTATTATTATTATTATTATTATTAATTTTTTTCATCAAACCTAGTAAATAGTTGTTGAGATTAATTGTTTATGAAATGTGAAATTTGCATACTTATTGTATTATTTTCAATATTGCATATTAGATTTGTATTAAAAATTCTATATACTAAGATATCTTTCATCAAATTTGATATTAGAGCTTAAGATTATGTCACTCACAAAAAGTCAATGTCATGTCATATCAAATGTGTCCGCATAAACTCACTAAAAAATATCACACTAATAAAGGTGTTGTACCCACATCCTCTGAGTGGTTAGGTTGATGGCATCATTACATTATATTATAGTTATGAGCTAAGTTCTAATATTTTTCAATGATTAAGTCTATGAAGTGAGTCATACAGTGCAATTGATGTGGCATTAAACCCTTTGTTAGTTACAACCCTTTTAACCTGCATTTCCTTTGTCTCTACATGATTCTCTTGGACAATGCAACTTATGATTACTATTAAGGATCATTTAACCAAATTAGATTGATTATTTTTGGTAATTAAATAGGACAGAATCTATGATAATTCATGGGATTGCAATCTTGGTTGAGTTAATCATTATGCATCCACTATTCCTTGTTATATGAGCCAAGCTAGTGGCGGTGTATTCTTCTCCCCATTTCACATATCTTCTAACCCAAGATCAACCATTGAGTGCAATTAGCAATAGATGAATCTTTTTTTTTTTTGGATCTCTTATTAAATGACTACTTTGATTCTGCCATTGATGCTTGAATAACGCACCTTGTACATATATTATAAAATCTGAGAATGCTGTTGTCTCGCCAGTTTTCGGGAGTTTTTTCTTTTCTTTTATGTGCTATTTTTCTTTTGGGATTCATGAGCAAATCATTATTGCGTGGTTCCACCTTGCTACTTGAATAAATAATCTTCTCGAGGTGAAATTATTCTGTGCGGATACGGATGACGTCCGAAGGCGAATCAAAACACGCCACATCACTCGTTTGCTGTGTATCGTTGCTATTTACCGAATGACGTGGCACGCTATGATTTACCTCCGGACTGTCCGGCGTCCGCACAGAATAATTTCTCTTCTTCTTGAGGCCTAAGAATCCTTTCTCTTTTCTTTACTATTCGTAGATTCTTTTTACATCTTGCTTTTAATCTCCGCCGGTTTCGTAATGCTCACAGATTATCTGACTTTCTTTATTTTTTCTAAATAATTATTTTATTTACTAATAGTAGGCCTAATATCCCTTGCGTAGTTTCTTCTCATCTGTTAGATATAATTCCACAGTGCTTGACATAATTTTCTCATGACTCCTTTGGTTGTTGCAGATAAAAATCACGCTTTAAAAATGATAATTTTAAATTCACTGTTTATATGTCATATGTGCATATAAAATCATCATAATTGAACGAGCTTTAAGAAGATTTCTGCAGCTAAAATACATCCAAGCTGATGATGGGTAATGATTTTCACTTTTCTAAACATAATTTTTAACTACAAATAACCAAATGAGGCTTCATGGCATTCCAACAGCGATTCAGTTATATTTTCTCTTGATTTTAGCCTTTTTCTTTGCACCAAATGGGTACAAGTTTCGTATTTGTTCGTCTCACCATTTATCTTTCTTCCTTTTCATTTACAGTGAATCCGATGAAGATGATTATGAAGAGTATTGCATCTGTACTATATCATAGATTCTTGCTGGTTTTCAATATACTTTCTTCAGAAGCAATGTGCTCTTATTACTGATGTGAATCAACCTTCTAGATTTGGTTCAATGGCGTTCACACCTGCTGTTGCCTGCATGGACTAAAAGGTAACTCTAATCAAAGAACAACAGCATTCTTCTTTCTTCAAGATGACAACTTCCTTTAGTTTTTGTTTGTTCCTAGAAATTAGGGTTCTAATATCTGCCCGACAATTATCTGAAAAGAGATTGTTTTGCTAGACCTATATGTAACTCCTTATGCTTTCAAAAGAAATTCAACCTTTTTTTTAAGGAGAAATTTGTAAATATCTTCTTATGTGTTAAGCTGTTTAAAGAAATGTAAGGGGCCTTCTTTTTTTTGTTTTTTAGCATGTTCTTATTGTTTGAAATAGTTACTAACTCGCAGTTATATCCTTTTAGTAGTTTTTTTGTGTTTGGTGGGAAGTAAACTAATTGTTGATTAAACTTTTGAGGAATTAGAATTCATTAGTTCATTTTCATTTGAAATTCATTCAATTTGACTAAATTTCAAATCAATTCAAAATATAAAACTTAACCCCCTTCGAATCACAATTTGTTTTTTATTACAATCTTTTGTCATTGGCTACTGGCTCCCACATGTCCTCCACCACCACCACCACCACCATTGGGTCATTGTTGCAACCACCGGGCCATCCTTGCCACCACCACCATCACCCACCATTGGCTACCAACCTCCCTCACTAGCCACCAACTATTGTCAACTGTCACCATCACCCTTGCCCGCCTGCTTGCTCGTTCTCTCTGCTAGATTTTAAATTGATTTAATTTTATTTCAGATCAAGCTAAAAAAAGTAATCTCCTGCATTTATAGTGCACTCAACTAAAAAACTAAAAAAAATTTAAATATACTATATTTATTTTACACTATTTTTTAGTTTCCATTCTTTTTCCATCAAAATAAACAACCCCTAAGTGACTCTAAATCGCTAATAACAAGAAAAAAAACATCATTAACGTAAAGAGCTAAGACTAACAGCTTGCTCCCACTAATCTTGAGATACACACACAATAATCAATTTATTTTCCTCAAATCTAAAAAAGAAATAAATTTCTCACAAATTTCAAACTCTAATAAGAAATTTGCATCAAACAATGAATATATTTTTCCCAATTTATAAACCGTATTCCATTTACCAACTTCAATAAAGCCTCCAAGTTGTTGAAAATGCACTTATCACATAGATCTCCGGTCAGAAAAAAACCTTTTATTGGAACAATATCATTCTCACTCAAATAGAAGAAAGAAAATAATCTAAAGACAGTGTATCTGTTGAAGTAAGAGCTGAACAAACTTTGCTTTTAAAAAAGTTAAGTTGAACAAAGAAAAGCCCCCATATCGTCTTAATCATTTCTTGGAACATGACGATGGAGGCAAGAAAAGATTCAATGGTGTTAACCATTCATGTGAGAACAAACATAATCAATTTATTATCATTTTATTAAAAATTGATATTATGACCGTCAATTGTAAAAGTGCTTCAAGATGCTGAAGTTTGTCATGAGATCTAATAAGGAATAAAAAATTCATCGTCCACAAAAAGGTAGCTGTAGTCATTAAGGTTTTGTTTATGACATCTTTCTTATTATTTTATTTAATATCGGACTGGAGGGGGCTCGACAAATCCACGTCGATGATCCCGTGGCCGTGGCCAAGCGCAGATCCAAGAACTCCTCGGAAGAAAATAATCCACCATCTGAGATTAATCTATACTAAACAGAGTAAAATTACTCATATATTATTCATCTCAACCATCCTCTATTATAAACGTTGCTATCTATTTATAGACAAAAGTAGTCACCTATTAGGCTACACACAATTAAAAGCACGCACTAAACCTATGTAGCCATAAAAGTACCAAATGGAATAAAATTAGCCTAAAGTTAATACAATCAAACAGCTCTGCTCCGGCGTCAAGCTTTTTAGTATAAAAATTTTTCGTTCAAAAAATTTTAACTAAAAAGTTATAAGAAAGTTGTCCAAACAAAACCTAAATTTCATAATAACTCCAATGGTGAAGGAGGAGGCCTTCTATTCAAAAAACGGCGATGAAGTGGGCATGCATTTAAGTGAGAATAAGGTAACAAAGGTGAAGAAGATTGAGAAGGTTAGATCAGAAGTGAAGGTGGGCTGCAAGGATGTTTGCATGTGTGTGCTATAACAAATTATTCTGTGCGGACACCGGACCGTCTGAAGACGAATCAGAACAAGTCATGTCATCCAGTATGCAACGGTATACAGCCGCAGTACACAACAAAAAAGTGACATGACACGTTCTAATTCGTCTCCAAACTGCGTTCGTATTTGCATAGAATAATTTTACGTGTGCTAGGGCTCTAGTTGAGGTGAGCACCTATGAGAGTAGGTGAGGGAGATACTAATGCATACAAGCAGGAAGGATGGTGAAGGACAGTGTTAATCCAAATGAGCTTGAAACAATAATAGGCAAGTGGCAAAGATTTGAGCAAACTGGCGCGGCACAGCGCAGGCGAGCACAAGCGTTAGGCTGTGAGTAGGGCAACACGAGATGCGAGTGGGAATATATGAGGAAAATTGGACAAAAGCTGGAGTATGGATTACATGGGCTTTATGGGCTTTAAGAATATGTTGAATAAGAAAATTTCATTGTATAATTATTAGATATGTTTGTAAATAGGCATATATGAGGGTACAAAACAAAAATAAAGGTGAAAAATATCCCATTTAGTAAAACCATAGCTTTTAATATCATATCCATATCTATAATGTAAGAGAAAAAATGTCAAAATAACCCTTGGATTAGTTGTATGAGGTCATTTTAGTCTTAATTATATGATGTGTTCAATTTGGTCCCTTAATTTTTTAAATATTATTCAAAATAATCTTTTTGTTGGATTATTTGAATTAGATTTGAGGAATCAAGAAATTATTTACATCAAAATTGAGGAATCAAGTGGCTTGATTGGACATATGAGATAATATAGGACTAAAAGTACTTCCCATAAATAATCAAGGGATTATTTTGACTTTTTTTTTTTTGTGGGGGAAGTAAATCACATGGTGAATACAAACAATAAAAATAAAATGCAACTGAAAGAAAGTACATTAAGATTTAACATGAAAAAATTTTAAATTGGGAAAAAACTATGGAGCCGCATCACACAGAAAAATTCACTAGAAAAATTTAGGAGAAATAGTACAAATCTCTCCTCTTTCGCTCTTTCCTTGTCTCTATTCACCCCTGCACCGATCTCTTACAAACAGAAAAAAAGAAACATACAAAAACCACCAAAGGATGCAACATTTAGTGAAAAACGAGAAAGCAAATTGGCAGCCCAACTCGCAGCACCACGACACCAAGTTTGGAGCTTCGCGACACTCAATTCTATCTTCAATTTGCCTGACAGTGTCGCAATGTCGGGGTCTGAAACATCATAACACTCAACTATATGTTAGTATCCAAGAAAATTATACAGCTCAATTCTATCTTCAATTTGCCTGACAGTGTCGCAATATCGGGGTCTGAAACATCATAACACTCAACTATATGTTAGTATCCAAGAAAATTATACAGCTCTGCAGCGCTGGGTACACAATATTGCAACTGTGTATTGTTGTACCGAAAAAAAATTGGTGTGAAGCACCAAAACCCAAGTAGAGGGAGAACCCCCTTCAAGCCCCTGGTGAACTTGACTGATAAAATTGAGATTCAAGGCAGCAGTATAACGCAATTGATTAACCTAATAAGATTCCAAATAAAACTAACATTTTCCTCCTAATATAATTACCTACTTAATCCATCATTAGTTGAATCCAATCACATAAAAAATCACATAACATATTTTAGCACATCACATAGCTAATTTAGCTTCCCGTATCAAAACTATCAAAAGAAACAATAGTAAAAAAACTAATGCAGACATCCACTACTGTACTCGCACAAACATGCAAACCAAATAACTAAAAAAACAAAACAATTAATTACATTTAAACTAATCTGCATTGCAGCTGATAATCCTTGCTCCCACCCTGTCAAGCTTTGCCACCACCACAGAAGCCTTCAAACGCCCTCCGATCAAAAAAGCCTCCACCATCCTCTCCCCAATTTCCTTTCCCTTGTCCTCATCATCCACCACCGCCACCGCCGTCGGCCCAGACCCGCTTATTGTACAACCAAATGCGCCGCATTTCACCGCCGCCTTCTTCACATCAACCATTCCAGGAATCAAAGGCGCTCTCTTGGGCTCCACGATCCCATCACACGACAACGCTGATCCCAAAACTCTCACATTTCCTTGAAGTATCGCAGCAACCAGCGCCGCCGCCTGGCTTGAATTAGCCACATGTTCCTCCCTTTTCACCAAATCCGGCAAAGCCGCCCTCATCTTCTTCGTCGGAGCCTCGAATTCCGGGCTCACTAACACAAATAAGAGCTCTCGATCTACAGGGAACTCGAGATGCATCAGTTGAAGAGGGCGGTAGCTTCGGATGAGAACGAACCCTCCCATCAAGGAGGGAGCAATGTTGTCGGCGTGGTACCCGCTGACCTTCTTCTCCGATTCAAGGCCAGCCAAGACGAGGTCGGATTGTGATAGGCCGCCACCGAATAGGGCGTTGACGGCGACGGCGGCGGCTGCGGCACTTGCGGCGCTGGAGCCGAGTCCGCTGCCGAGGGGAAGACCTTTGTGGAGGTGGAGAGAAAGGCCAACGGAACGGACGCCGAGCATGCGCATGGCGGCGGCAGCGGCAATTCCAGCGCAGTTAAAGTTAGGGTTTCGGCTCAACTTAGAGACGGCGGAAGGATGATCTCCGGTGATGGATGAGACGGTGATGGTGCCGGGAGGGATGGAGGGGTCGATGGAGAGAGTGACTGTGTCGCCGAGGGTGTCTACGGCACAGCCGAGGAAGTCAAAACCGGGGCCGAGGTTGGCGACTGTGGCAGGGGCGAAGGATTTGACAGAGTGGAAGACAGGCGAGGGTTCGGCGGCGGGTAATTTGTCAGGGGCTAGGGTTTTGGTGGGATGGGAGGAGCATCGGATGGTGGAGGTACGGGGAAAGGAGGGATATTGATGGCAGAGATAGGCACGGGAGGTGGATGTGAAGGTGTTCGCCGCCATGGTAGCCATGATGTTTGAAGCAGGAGGAAGATCTATATTAGCGCAGGTGGGTAAAGTTGTCCAGTTGTACCATAAAATTATTTATTTTAATTTTAAAAAACAAAAATAAATATTCAATTTGTTAACTACTACAAAACTTATGATAATTCTATGTTTAATATATAAATGATAAGAGAACAGAAATTAAGTGAAAATTTCAAAAAAAAAAAAAAAATCATGGAATATTGAAACAAGCCATTCAATTTTACTACAAACATGCAAAATTGAGAGATCATTTGATCTTTTAGTTAATATTATGAAATTTTCAAATATACTTCAACTACTTAATTTAAATTCATTTGAACTAAGATTGAATTATTTATTTATATCATTAAATTTGCCTCATATAAACATTCATTTCATCTATTAATTTAAAAAAAAAATTCTCATCCATTTTGCGATAAAAAATTATATTCATCCATCTCCTCAAATGCTTACATGCATAAATAAATAGAAATTGCACAAAAGAGAAGTATAGTGATAAAGAGAGCAAATAAAACATCACAGCACAATAGCCTATTGAGGTCCTTAGCAATGCATCAAACAAAATAAAATGAGAAGAAATCAAAGGACCAAATCAAAACTCTTCTACTTTGACAGAGTCCTTGGGAATCTCATATGCATCTCTAGGCCTCAGTTTCTTCACTCCAGCAGTGAAGCAAACTTTGTCCGACTTATAGCTTTCAAGAGAGATATGGGAAACCTTGACCCATACGAGAACTCTAGTCTTCATCCCTTCTATTCCAGAGAGTTTCCCTCTGGATAGAAAGGCTTTGACTCGTGTGGAGTACCTGAGGACTGAAGAATCCTTGAAGCTGACTTCGCAGATGGATGGAAGATGGACAATCAGCTTCGACTTCGATTCATCTAATTCATAGCAGATTATGTTGCGGGGAAAGAGGCCTGGAGGGAGGCCGTAGTCTCGGAGGAGATCTGGAAGAGATTTCTGCGGTTTGCCTGTAAGAAATTTGGAAGAATTCACTCGGTTACTATCAGTCGGATGAAAGAGTCGTTCATCAGATTCTCAAGAGAGTCAAGGATTCAAAAGGGGATTGAAACATTGATAGTTCTTTGTGGAGAGAAAATCTATAATGCCCGTTAAAAGAGGGCAAATTATTAGGTCCAGTCACCTGACCTAGAAATAGGTCCGAACATCCAATAAAAAATTGTTACGTGGACTGTGCTTTGACTGCGCTTTACCTGCGCTTTTGACTGTACTTTTTTGAGTCAAAGTGCAGTCCACGTGGCAAATTTTTAGTGGATGTCCGGATCTAGAAATAGGTCCGGTGACCGGACCTAATAATTTGCCTAAAAGAGAGACCTAATTCACACCTAAAATAAATTATGTGTTTACGGATATATATATTGAGTTTCTGAGTTCAGGTTTATATGTATGCATGTTTGGTCAATAAGATATTCCCATATGCATGGGATAATTTTACTTTCTAAACAATCATAATACAAACAAGTTTCTGAACTACGTCATGATTTATTGAACTATGGCATAGCTCTATATGATTGAACTTTCTGGAGTCGTCTTATCTCCATTTGGCAAGTTGTCTTCCCTATATTTATGTACACACGGTGAACTTCATTATTATAAATATTCTCATATTTTTTGGGACATAATATTGAAATGGTCATCAATTACTTTATTGAACTTTTCATCTTCATGAATATTCTCTCCACTCTCTTCCTTCATATGTTTATATTAACTTGAGCCCATGGTTGCCTTTGGGCACTATTCATCTCCTTTAGAGAATTAGAGAAAGAGGAGGCGTAAATACAGAAAAGGAAATCTAAAGAGCCATAGAAGTCAATCTAGGAGCTAGATTGTTCAGGAATTTTTCTTCCTCTATAGTAGGGCCATAAAAGATGTCAATTGGTCGAAAAGAGCGATATAGGAGCAGAATTCTGAAGGGCTATTTTATGTTATATATATATATATATATATATATATATATATTACCAGACCCATACTAAAAGTTGGAAATAAAAAAAAAAAACTAAAAGTTGGAAATCTTCTTTGAATAGTTAATGGCGTATGACAAAAGCCACGCACAGTTCATATCTCATGGGAAGAAGGGAACCAAACTCTCTTGGTCAAAGGAGACCTATGCTGCACTAGGGCTGCAAGCGAACCAAGCGTTCGACGAGCTACTCGTTGTTCGGTTCGCTGAAATCTTCTTTGAATAGTTAATGGCGTATGACAAAAGCCACGCACAGTTCATATCTCATGGGAAGAAGGGAACCAAACTCTCTTGGTCAAAGGAGACCTATGCTGCACTAGGGCTGCAAGCGAACCAAGCGTTCGACGAGCTACTCGTTGTTCGGTTCGCTGAAATCTTCTTTGAATAGTTAATGGCGTATGGTCAAAGGAGACCTATGTTGCACTACGTCTTCCTAACACGATAAATTTCTATCGTTGTCCATTTTGAACCAGCTTAGAAGTTGAACCTCTCACCCTTATGAGATGAGAATAATATCGTCTAAGCAAATGCTTATTGTATATCTGCATAGTTTTTTTCTCCTTCCCTTCATAAAACAACATACTAGAAGACTATTTTTGGAACCACTTAACATGGATGGGAGTCAAACGCATCATCTCAAACTTTGTTAGGTGGGGGTAACTTGAGCTAATGATCATTGGTACGACAACAAGATGCTTTCAATTTGGAATGAGAGGTATATTAACTCAATGTAGCCATCCAATTCAAATCCAATCTCTGATTTTTTTATAAGCTAACTGACTTTTCTGCATTTTCTTAGTATTAACTTCTTCAAAATCACTATTATATCATTATAATTGTTGTGGGCTAGAATATACGCGGCGATAGAGTTAGAATACTACGTCTTAGCGTTGCACGGATATCCAGCTCACACATAGAAACACAAGATTTTTACGTGGAAAGCCCTAAAAAAAGGGAAAAACCACGGGGCCTGGCCTAGTTGAAAATGATTACATTAGAACTTGAGTTGGTTACAATGGGCTGACTCGCCTCCAAGGGCGATCAGATTACAAGTAATAATTGTACGACAGAAGTCCGGGTGTCAGGTGATGGACCGGTAGAACTTCGGGCTTCAAGTAGTGGTATGGCAGAACTCCAGGCCTTAAGGGGTGATCTGATGAAGGCGAGGGCCTCAGGTGGTGGTCCGACAAAGGCGAGGGCCTCAGGTAATGGTCCGGCAAAGGCGTGGGCCTCAGGTGGTGGCCCGACGAAGGCGAGGGCCTCAGGTGGTGGTCCGGTGAAGCTCCGACGGTGGTCCGACGAAATTCCGGCAGTGGTCCGGCGAAACTCCGGTGGTGATCTGGCGAAACTCCGACGAATATTCTAGGAGGAGCTTCTTCCTTCTATTCTATTCTTGCTTAAATCCCCTTTCAAGAGAAATGAGGGGTCTATTTATAGATTTCTGAAGTGGCATGGCCCGTAAATAGGTGAAAGATCAAGGATAAAGGGGGAGTGGTCGGATGAACGGTCGATATTGAATCTCTTGATCATGGACCATTTGATGGACATTTGAATGTCTTATTGATGTCAGAATTCCGCGATCTTGGGCTCGTTGGATTCGTCTCGTCGAGCCGCTCGATTCGACTATAAGCACGTCATGTTTGGAGACCGTTTGGTAATCTAAATTGCAGTTTGAACCTTCCAACAGCGCTTCTAACCCTTGATTTGGACCCGTTTGGGCTCGGATTGAGTTGATTTTGGTATCATTGGGTTCGTATTTCCGAGACGCTCAGTTCGACTGTAGGTTTGCCAAAATCGGAGTTCGGATGGTCCCAATTTTAATTTTGGAAGTTTCATTCGTGCTTGATCAAGTTAATTTTTTGATGATGTATCAATAATTATTCCAATAACAACATGGTTCAGAAAACCTACCTCAAAACCATTCAGACCAAACCTTCTGCAATCATGTGCATCCTACTGTTCATAATGTTCGATGAATTGACTATAAATCCTTGGAAGAACAAGTGAAGTGTAAATGTGTAATAGCTATAATCTAAAATGTATATTAGTACATCCAAGCAGTTCTTTTTCTACACCAATAAATCTTGTGTGCATCGATTGACAACAAGAAAATAAAAAGGAAATCATAAGATAACAAAAGAGATATTTTATGCGGTTATAGGGTAAAAATTCAGGATTATGTGGATCTCACTATAGTTCTTATAGTTATAATTACAGGAGATCATTGCCAAAAGAAGACAAGAACGATCACCAAAATATAGAAAATATTATATTTATCATTAGTATGTTTCACAAAGTATACCCTAAAAATATTTTACAGAAGAAATCACCGATAAGGAATTAATCTTAAAAAAAGATCAAACTCTATAAACCATCAACATGGGTCCCGTTCGATGTATCTTAGAAGAACACTAGTCCTAGCCATGCCAAAAAACTCCTCTTAGAAGTATCTAGTTTACGGATAAAAATATTAAACTTGAGGACTTGCCACTTAAGATAATACAAGGAACAAGAAAGAGAAACTGCATAATAATGAAAGAGCAATATGTTTTATTGTCAGAAGGCAAACTGCAACGGCTTGTCAAACGAAATTTGATTATTTATAGCCTCCCATAGTCAATATGATGAAATTGGAAATGTCGCTTTCTATTTGTATACTTCAACTCCAACAGAGAAAGGGGAATAACAAACTGTAACAAAAGAAATAGGAAAAAAAGTAAATTGATCACATTAGAAGATGCATGAGACTGGAAAAAATACTCATACTTTTCACGTTCCTTTTACTTGCAAAAAGGTAGCAATCCAATATGACAGTTACACGCCAAATCTCAGGCTAGTCAGAAGTTGATACTAGATTCACCTTTGGGCAAAATATAATAACCATATGCAGCCACTTGTTTGGTCGAGCATTGTTAAAAATAAGTTCTATCCAGCCTAAGTTGTTCATGTGTTGGCAACCGTATCTGCTTATTCAACCCCTTTTGTAACTACAACCGTGCATAACAAACTCATTGTAGTTAATTTTCCTCTCAGCAAATCCTACTAGCTTAATTGGCGGATCTTCAACACAAGAACATGTTCTTCAGCAGTAATTATTTCATTGGTTTGATATTTATGCCATAATACTAATTCTTTAGTGATAAGTTCTGAATTAGTTGCTACTTCTATTTTCACTAGTTGATGTTCAACTTTTATTGATTCAATAAAATTTTATATCATATTTATCTGATTATATAATATCGATCTTAACTCTTGAGGTTTGTCTCGTAAGTTAGAGATTAAGGCCTCATTTGGGACGGCTTTTATATTGCTTCTTAAAGCAATTTTTTAGTAAAAAATTTTAACTTTTGGACTAGAAAGCTGCTTTAAGAAGCAATAAGAAAGCTGTCTCAAACGAAAAGCCGAAGTCCATTCATCATGTCCCATGTTGTTGGTGTATTGCCTTTTGAACCTGGCTTGTGAAATGTTCATAAAGTTGCACTACTTCAAAGATAAGCTAAAAAGCAGCATTTAACCAATGAAATTACATTGCTAAACAAAAAGAATACACATGGTAACGATGACATAAGACCGAAGAAAATGTAGGAATGCAGATATTTCTGACCTTTTAGCTTCTCAAATATCCACTTTGCTTTCTCCTCCACAGTACTTGAGAAACGCTGGCAATTTCAACCAAATTTCAGTAATTGCAGCAAAATAAATACAGTTTACTGAAACTGATGTAATTACTAAAGCCTAGTAGACACAAACCAAAAATCGGAATGTAAATTCATTTTCCTGATAAAATAAATGCTAATATTCGGAATTGATTTCGAAATGAGATTACTTAATGTCATAACACAGATCTGCACCCTACGACAGTATCCCCCCAAAAAATCCTAATAAAAAGGATAAAATAAGGTCGACCTCAACGCATAAGTTATCCTCTTTACCTAGTCCGATTAATCTGCATTAATTTGAGTAGTGTTGCATAACCCTTAAAATTAAAAAAAAATTAAAAAACACTCAGATCTAGGATTACTGAGCCACAAAAAGGAAAGTGGGGAAAAAGAGATCAAAGAATACCCAGAATGCAGAAGTTTAAATCAATTAGACAATAATGTAGGAATGCAATTGGGATGAAAACCCAGAAATCAAGAAAAAAAAAAGTCGGAATGCAATTAGGACGAAAACCCAGAAATGAAGAGCAAAATAGACAAGATCAAGAATAGCTCACAGAAAGGTCCTCGCCGATAGAAGAGAACTCCTCTTTAGCCTTCTTTGATATCCAAAAACTTCCGACCCTTGTAAGCGCTTTCTCCATTACTCGTTTTCTTCTCCAAAGCGGAGATTGGAGAAGATCAGAAGATGGGAATGTCTCTCTCTCTCTCCCGCTAAAAAGAACAAAAATCCTCACTGTGGAGTATAAAGCATTAAAGCGGCGCTCACCAAATCGAATAAATAAAGTAATAAAAATTATTGGAAATTATTGGGATTGAGATATGTCTGTTTGGCCCAGAACAAAAAACAGTTGTTTTAACCAACCAGGTTGGTAGTTTTTGCACGCTCATCTTTTAAGGAAGTTTAATTAATTTAAAATAAAATTAATAAGGTGTAAAATTTAAAGATAATAACAGCAGTAGAAGGGCTAGTTTGATTTGCCTCAAAAATAAATTTGAATGATCTACATTATATTTATTTTACTTTATTTTACTTTATTTTACATTTTTTTCCATCCAATCAAAAATCAAAAATTTTAAAACTCTTGCATTTAGAATATTTTACTCTTATATAATTCTACCACATAGCTCATAAATATAAAATAATAAAATACATTTTTTGAGGGTTTTTTTAATTATATAATTATAAATATAAAAGAATTATGAATGAGAGGGAAGTTAATTGGAAAAAAAATTGTAGACATTTGGGAATAGCTCGATTATGGGTGCAAACGAGTCAAGTCGAGCTCAAGTCAGGGGGTGTTCGAGTTAGACTCGCGAGTCCAATAACAAGCTAGAACTAAATTCGAGGTCGAGCTTGACTCGTGACACTGAAATGGGCTCGTCGAGTAGCTCGAATTCGTCCACCGTTCTAACTTGTGAGCCTTTGGCGTCTTCCACAACGGTAGAGTTTGTGGTCCGGTTGTTTTTCGTACGCAAGCCGTGACGAACTGTTCGTCGACTCCTTTCCATAACATATGATGTTTTTTGCATGCCGCACGCGCAGACGCAACCTTCTCGAGCCACACGAGTGCCTCAAGCTTTGTGATGTTGTCTGCCTCAAATTTAAGTGGGATTAGACGGGAATATTGAAACATTAGTATTATTTTTTAGGCGTGATTAGGCCGATTCAAATTCAATAAATAAAATAAAAATTAATTTAAAAATATTAATAGTGAATCGAGCCGGCTCGTGAGCTGAGCCTCAATATAGCTCAAACTCGAGCTCGACTCGTGAGCTCGATAAGCTTGATTTGCAAGCCCATTAATGAGTCGAGTTCATTTCCTTAAAAAAAAAAATGAGTCGAGTTCCAACATGCTCGGCTCACTTGCACCCCTAAGCTCGACTATATTATTTAATTACAAAAAGGGCAAAACCCAATAGGGAGCTGCAGAAAACAATTAGCAGTGCTAAAAGAAAATTTACATTTATTATTAAAAAACAGAGAAAATTTCAAAAAGATGAAAAATAAATTATTGCTTTTTTCCCAATATTTTGCAATAATTTTTTTTCTATGAATTTGCTTTCTATAATAATTTAAAAAAAAAAAATCTATTTTTTCTATGTTAGCCTTATAATCATTTTTATCAAAGGCTACGGGCATTGCAAACGGAATCTTAGGCTTCGTTTGGGACGATTTTCTTATTGTTTCTTAAAGCAGCTTCCTAGTATAAAAATTTTAATTTTTGTACTAAGAAATTGCTTAGGAAGCAGAAAGAAAATCGTCCCAAATGAAACCTTAGAAACCAAGAAAAACCACCGCAAAATCATATCAGTGGTCGGATCAAAATAAACAGAAGCATTTGTAAAGAAGATCTAATGATCACAACAAAAACAAATTCAAATATAAATTAATACAAATTAGCTTATCGTAGTCCGTCAATATATATATATATATAGGCCAAATTTTTGGAAAGAGCTTGTAACAATCGTAATTTAGGAGAAGAAGCTTGAATGGAAAAGAATTTAAGAAGCGGCGTATACGCTGTAATAGATGGCGTATTAATAGAATGCGCTCGAATAGTTGGCGCATTCATAGAATACGCCTGATTGAATGGCGTATTCTGAAGAATGCGCGGTTTAGGTCAGCGTATTCTTGAATTTCCGAAGATTACGCCTAATGTTTTGGCGTATTCAAGTGCAATGCCAGCTGTTAATATTGCCTCAAATTCCAAGCCCTTTTTGTTGGATTCAGTGTTAACGGAATCAGAGTATTGAATGAGTAAGAAATTTTTTTTTTGTTTGAATCAGTGTTAGCCGTATTCCCCCATATATATATTTGAGAATATGATGAGGTTGGGAATGATAATATTGTAGGAATAGAGTTGTTTTATTAAGTTTAGGGAATGTAATATAAATATGCAATTTCTAATATCCAAATTTCTTGTATTGAATTGAGAAAGTTGAGTAGTATTTGTTAGTGAATTTTATATATTGTCAATGTTATAAAAGTCAAATTTGAATAAATTTTAATGTAGTCAGACATTTAATTGTAAATTATAAATATATTTAAAATCTTAAAACAAATATGAAGGAAAAAATAAAATTTTTATGAGAAATGGTAATTAATAAAATAAATTATTTTTTATGAAAAGTATTTGATTTTTTAAAAAATTAGAATTGAATAATAACTTAATGTATATTTTGGATTAAAGCTGAGCATGTTCTCGATTCTTTTTTGAAGTTGTTGTTTCAGATTGTCTAGTACTTAGCAAAATGAATAAATACCTGTAGAAGCAAAGAAACTTAATATTTGGAATAGAAATAGTGCGGAAAGTAATCAACACAAGTTTATCTTAATACATACGCTAATGATTGAAAGCAACAATTAAAAAAACTATTATTACATGTGGCTGAGTACTATGCGCATGCGCGCTTGGAGTTGGGTTAAAGTTGGACAGCATAAAAAATTTTCTGTGAACTGCTTTTGGATGTGGTGCCAATCTTTTATATTTAAGAAGTCCTTCTTCTTTTTACCATCTATAATATTCAGCTCTTGATATTTTTCTGATAGAAATGCATCTTGATTAGTATCCCACATTTTATAAAGAATACAATGTTGCACATCAGTTATTGGATTCTCAACATTGACCACAACAGAACCATCTTTTTTCTGTGTCTTCTTCATCACCCGGTGCATGGTACACAGTATCCCTGCCTGGATGTGTTCCTAGCAGTTCATCACAGCATTCTGGCCAGGTTTCCCAACGACGACCAACACCCACCACATTCGGACCCACAACAGCAGGGCCATCAATTCTCAAGCCAAGTATAACCTGGACATCTTGGAGCGTTATTGTCATCTCCCCCACCGTAAAATGAAAGCTGTTCGTTAGTGGACACCATCGCTCCACAAGTGCTGTTATGAGGTTATGATCCAAACGAATGAATTGTAGGTGTCGGATGTTATGTAGCCCAAGATTCCTTAGGACATAAATCATTCGGGGGCACTCCACAGGCCACTCACGTGCGGTCCGTAAATGGGTCGAAGGAACCAGCGGAGATGCCTATTTTCAATGAAAAAATAAGAGTTGGTTTTAAAAAGATCTTAATATGTAACTAGTTAAGAAATGTAATGCAACTGCTAGTTCACCTGATCAGGGTCATGAGCCCTATGTGATGCGCCTATCGAAGCAATGCTAATTTCTTGAATTGACTCCTCCCCACGCTCTTCATGACTGCTACGACGCCCACCACGTCGTTGCCTTGATCTTTCAGCCATTTACTATATTTGCATAAATAATAAAATTTAATGCAACATCATATGGAGTCGTGGAAAGATGCAATGTAGAAAACATAATTTTATTCGGGCCTCAAAGGTAAACAGAACCTAACATGAACATTTGTGACAAGCATTCCATAAATTAAGACATCATACGACAATGTTCTCCAAATAAACTAGCATATATGTTACAATGATTATTCAAATACACAACACCTAGGTGGCTCAAAACAATCTATAATATTCATGATGCGGAACACAATCCGTGGACGTAGCTTCGAGATTGCATCCCTCGATCTACCGACGATATCTTTAAAACATTAAGAAAAAATCAATCATTAGAATAAATCTAGAAATCAAACCAACAATTTAACACATTGTAGTAAAATAATCATCATTTAAATATGTTTTATACCTCGATGATCCTGGATTATTTGGGCATGTTGCTCTATTATGACCGTTTTGCTTGCAATGTCCGCACCTCTTATTCCCTGTTGAATTAGGCTCATCCATTGTGTTACGAAATCTATTTGTCCTCGGTCTACCTGCACGCCTTCTGAAAGCCGGTGCAAGTAAAGGTATGATTCCCTGAACTTCGCAGAAGTTGGGCCAAACTCCCTTAGGGGGAAGAACATGAAAAAGACCGGAGTACGTTTCCCTATAGGAGTTGAGTGTGAAGTACTGTGATACGAACGGATTATGATTCCATCGCCTATATCCGGCGACCGTTATGACATGAACGCACGGCACATGATAGAGTTGTGGTCTCTTACATGTGCAGGTACAATTTTGATGTGATGGAATCTCAACTCTATGTGGGCGACATGAAGAATCCACAACTTCAAATTCACCTCTATTAATAGTAATGGGTTGTGGGCATCTTCTAGCCTCACGTTCTGTTCGCTGTAACGTGTCCATCGTACGTGGAACAAATTCAGATTCCCCAGACACAAGCCACTTCTCAACGTCTGCAGAACGCCTAACAAATAAAGATACAAGGTTATAGTATATAGACATTACCAAACCTTGAATTGGAAGTCCACGAGCACGTTTAAGAACCCCATTAAAACACTCTGATGCATTGGTTGTCATGATGCTGTATCGACAGCCATTGTCAAATAGTAATGACCACTTACTAACATCACGTTCTATTAACCAGTCATAAGCCTCTTGCTTCACATTTTTAATGTGGTTCATCATGCGCGTGAAGTTCACGATATCATCAGTACTACCAGCTAAATACATGTTGATGCAAAGGCCTTCAACATCAGGAATTGCTTTACGGCGTAAAAATTTTTTGTAGTTCTCACGCAGATGACGGAGGCAGTGTCTATGAACGGCGTTAGGAAAAATTTCACGACACCCTCTCACCAAACCGGGATGCTTATCATAAATTATACATAAATTTTGACGGAGTTTAACTACATCAACCAAGTCATGTAAGTTCTTAAGGAACCAAACCCATGATTCATTAC